ATAAGTTTTCATTTTTCTAGGGTAAATGCCCAAGCATGGGAATACCGAGTTATACAGTACATAGAGGTTCAACTCTAAAAGAAAATGCCAAACTTCTCTCCACGGTGATAACCAATCCAAGCTTCCTACCACCAGTAGAGCAGATTTCCAATTGCTCTGCATCCTCTCTAGCGCTTGATATTGTATTTTTATTTTAACCATTCCCATAAATATGTAGTAGTATCTTATCCAGGTTTAATTTGCATCTCCCTAATACTAATCATAAAAATCATTTTAGGCATCAGTAGCTCTTGAGTTATCTTTGGTGAAATGTCCATTTAAGTGTTCTGTTCATTTTTTAATTGGGTTGTCTTCTTACTGTTGAGTTTTTTAAGTTCTTTATATATTCTTGATACCAGTCCATTGTCATATATATGGCTTGCAAAGTCTCTCCCCATCTGTACCTTGTCTCCTCAGCCTCTTAATAGTGTCTTTCACAGAGCAAAGGTTTTTAATTTTGATGAAGTCCAAATTATCATTTTTTTTTTCTTTTATGAATCATGCTTTTGGTGTCATGTCTAAGAACTCTTTACCTAACCCCAAGGCATAAAGAGCTTCTCTGGTTTCTCTAAATTTTTCCTAGTTTTACATTTAAATCTATGATTCACTTTTAATTAACTTTTGCATAAAGTACACAGTTTACATTTGAGGTTCATTTCTTTAATATAGAGGATATATATCTAATTGTTCTAACACCATTTGCTGAAAAGACTACTCTTTTTTCCTTTAAACTGCTTTTACGCTTCTGTCAAAAACCAAGTGGCCAAGTTTGTGTGTGATTCTGGACCACCAATTCTGTGCCAGCAATCTAAGCATCCATTCCTTCACCAGCACCAGTCTCCATTACTGTAGCTTTATGTAATAAGTCTTAAAACTGGGCAGCATGAGTCTTGCTTTTGTAAATTAAGAATGTGGAAGTAACATTATTCAAGAGAGCTGGCAATATCTACCTAACAAATTCTAGTTTCAAATTAAAATCAGTATTTTGGAAATAGGACAGGAAAAAAAGCAAATATGAAGGAAAGGGAACAGAAAGAATATAGGAAACAAAGAGAAAGAAGTAGGAACATGAGAGAGACACACGTAAAGAGGTAGAAACAAAGGAAAAGAAGAGATAAAGGGGACAGGGAAAGGTGGAAAAACAGAGGAAGTGGTTCCCTACACATCAGATCTCAACCACTAAAGCTGAGCCAAGCAAATTCCTCTCTGTGAACCCCAAACACCTTCCCACTTACACGATCCACCAGAGCTAGCATCAGTAATGAGAACAGGTCAAGGGCCAGGTATCTCACCAGACCAGGAACCTCATCCTCCTAAAAATCTACAGTAGGACAAACACTTTTCTCATTAAATCATTCAAAACAAGCAATTATCATAATATCGACTTCAATTTTTATATGACCCATTACATTAGTCTTAAATACTCCTATATAACTGCCTGTTCACATAAATAAACGGACACATTTGATGATCAGCATGAACTTTCCTTAACTAGAACACTCCTGGTGTTTGGTTTAGATATTTCAAAGAAAAACATCCTTCGTTCTCTTTGGATGAACTATCCACCCTGTCCACCTCCCAGGGTTGCCATGAAGATCAAAGGAGATCATGGAAGGGAAATTGCTTCATAAACTGAAATTTTTCATACAAATGTATATCAATGCCTCTCCTCATTAGAGGTATAGGACCAGGAAACTTTGTCAGACACAGATGAAAGCATCTGGCTCAACTACATAGACCCTTTAGTGAAATCTAAAATGGTCTTTAGTAGCAGCAAATTCAGAATTCTTTCCAGACAACGGCATTATTAACAAGAAGGATGTGGTTCGGTAACTAGCTCTGGGCAGTTCTCTGCAACATCTCTGACAATGATGGACATTCAGATATTGGAATCTTGCTTTCCTTTCTTGCACGCTAAAATCCACTACTTCCTTCTATTTTCTATACTTACATCTTTGATTCTGGGGGGAAAAAAAATCATGGTTAACAAATGTAACTGTAGTCACAGAAGAAATATGACACATAGTCTTTAAGAACTAGAAATAAAATTTGGTACATTCCAAAATAAATGCTTAACTTTCTGTTACAAAATTCTCCCACATATACTGTGTGTGCATGCGTGTGTGTGTGTGTATATGTGTGTGTGTGTTTTCTGTCTTCAAAAAAATGCTGTAAGAGCCTTTGGTATTTCATGTAGCTTTCTGTAATTCACAAACCCAAGAAACCACCCACCTCCTGCTATATTTGTAAGTGCTTAGGTTGATGATGTTTACCTCACTTCCTTTATTTGACAACTTCTTTTCTTTCTTTTAATGCTTATTTTTCAGGGACAGAGAGCACATGAGCAGAGAAAGGGCAGAGAGAGAGGGAGTGAGAGGATCCAAAGCAGGCTCCCCGCTGACAGCAGAGAACCCAATCTTGGGCTCAAACTCATGAACCGTGAGATCATAACTAAGCTGAAGTCAGACACTAAACCAACGGAGCCACCCAGTCATCCTTTGACAATTTCCTGAAGACAGAGGATCATTAACTGTATTACCTGGTACTTAAAACATTACTGGAATTCTGTAAATACATAAACGCATGTTGGGTACACCAAATGCATCTTGTTTATTACTGTGTGTTTACTCATCCAATCACTATCTAATAACCTAAGTCAATCTCACGTTGTGGAAATGGAGGCAATATAGCCTATCGTAAGAACACAGGCTTCAGACACAGACACCTCAATTCAAATCCTGACTCTTACTACCAGCTGAGTGACTCTGCAGAAGTTAGTAACTTTGGCCTTAATAACTTCCTAATCTTTAAAATCAGGATAATACGCTACATTGACAGATGCTGAATTAAATAACAATAACGTGACAAGTCAGCACATCATCAGTGTGTGAGTACCTTAGCTCCTTCCTTGCCAGCAAGACTCCTCGGCTATCTGTTCCAGCCTCCTTGATACTACCTAGGAAGGCTTGATATTTAGAAGCATGTTCTGGAATTTCTCCACCTTAATGACTCTCCATCTACTTTCAAATCTAACCTGCCTCTAGATCCTCATCTCCCTCATCTGCTTCCATTATAATCCAGCAGCAAGACGTACTCTGCCAGGAAAGCAGGTGCAAGCAGAGCAGGCAGGGCAGCCCCCGTCCCACTCTTCTCTGGAGCCCTGGCACACAGCTGCGAGGATCCGAGCTCCGGTCCTGGAAGCTGCACGCGGGCAACAGCTGCCGCCTCTCTCATTAGCTCACTCTCAATTCAGGGCACATGCTCCTTAACAAATGCTTTACTTATCTGAATAGATTTCATCTGACAGTAATCTGAGAAATTGGCAAACACCAGTGGTTAACTCAGAATACTTCCACTGGGGCAAATGGAAAGCTATGAGTTTTCAGGTGGTAAACAACAGAAGAAAATAGTGCTCCCTTTATGATTCACAAGTATTAGAGAAAGTGAAGAGAAAATCGCTATTTAAAGGACAAATGTACTCTGGCTGTGCACTCGATGTTTTAAAGCGGGACACCTGATTAAATCTTCATCCTGACGTGAAGCATGCTCTGCCAGGGCGGGGTGGCCGGCTCCTAGAGCATTCTCCCATTTCACTCTTCTGAGGACCCTGAAAGCCTCCTGAGATGCAAGGGATGTTACCCAACGTAAGGTGGTCACAAGAGAACAGATTGCAAGTTACTCATCCAGAGAATCTTTCAGAAGTGTTCTAAGTTGTGACGGGGTACAAGCAATTACAGTTTCCCAAGAGAAATAATCACTTACAAATCCCCAGGGAATTATGGCATGCAGAACCAGGGCTGGAGTTTCCACTGCCTGATGCTAACAAGCACTACGGTCTCAGAATAAGCTCAAATCACCCAAGATCCTAATTAAAAGTTGGATGAGCAAGCCAGAAATAACTGCCAAATGGAGAGACAACTAAATGTCCCATGACAGTCTTGCTATCTAGAAGCTGGAGATTGCCGATGAAACTCCATAAAGAAGTTAATGCTAAATGTGCAGCAGTGTCTGGTCTTAGCCTTGGGGCTGGTGGCAACCCTCACACTGCTCTGTGAGCTTCCTCAGCAGGTAGTCCACAAAAGAGCCAAACAAATGGCTCAGGGAGGAAATAAACAGGTTTTCTCTGCTCAAAGTCATGGGTCCCAGGGACCCCAAACTCCCTTACTAAATGTGTTGTAAGAGCATGCCCAATTTTCTTTTGGAGTAAAAGAAAACAAATGTTAAGGATCCATATTGTCCATTTCTTCTTTTAATCCCTTTCAGGTTCTCACCCCTTTGGTAGGCCTGTCAGTAACTCAATACTTACTCTTTTCAGGACATGTGCAGCTTCATTTCTCTAATACTCTCCCAGTCCCTAAAGCTTACTTAGGTAGGTCCCCTCCGCCTCCAGCAGTAAAACAACCTAGCATGTAGTGAGAAGGAAAGTCTGAGTGAGAGACATGCATTTTTCCCTTGGGCGATCAGGTGGTAAGTGACCAATCACAAAATAGCACTAAAACATGAGCAAAAACATTTGGCGGAAAGCAGACATACATCAGGGAATTCTAGTACAACGCTTCATACAGGCTCTGAGATCTGCCTAAAGATCAGACCCACTCTGCTGCTAACCCCCTGAATAAATACATTCTCACTGCCAGAGAGGCCCGGTCCAGAGCTATTTCACCCTTTCCTATTCTCTAGAAGCACTGAGCCACTGTGATCACCCTCCCAGATGTGCAAAAGGCAAGAAAAGATGTCCTTTCTGAAAACTCACTACAACAAAACACGGCCAGGGGGCACTCTACAGACCTAAGAACACGGCAACAGGCTTTATTGTGACAACACATTCAGGTCTTCACTCAACAAATCACAAGGACGAGCATCACTCCAGTGGACAAGAGAGATTCTTTCACATGAGGCAGTTTCAAGAGACTGACCAGAGCCGCCCGTCCTCCCCCTTAAGGTTTACTTGTCACCGTTACCTGTACAAGTGACGATTGTCTTCAAAATCTTCCTGACCCCATTTTCCCTTGATGTCTTCAATAACATGATTCTTAAGGAATTTTTTCAGCAGCTGGACTGTTTGCTTACGTGTCACCTCGGGGCCAAAGTTCTGACTGCACCTCAACAGCTCATGCAGCCAATCCACGGCTTCAGCCGCCGTGAAGCAGTGTTCGTAACTTTTAAAACGACAGCGATGTTTCCGTAAGGGCATCCTAGCGCGAAAAAGCTCAACTGTTTCATTCCACTGGGGAAAAAAGGGAGAAAAGCATGTAGCAATCAACTGGTTTTGTTCAAGTTATTACATCCCAAATATTTAAGATGATGAAGGCAGTTTTTCCACTTAGAAAACCGTCTTAATGACGGCCTCGACTTTTTTTTATTTACGACCTTCACACTTGAAAGAAAAATAACTTTTAAAACGGTATTTTATATTTTAAAAAACTGTATTTTATTCATTCAATAGGTATTTACTGGAGATAAGACCAGAAAGTTGTCCCATTATGTGAATTTAATGGATTTTTACATTAATGACAAACATATGATCAAAAAAATTGATAAACCAGAGCCCAATATGCCTAATTCACTTCTTGGAGCTCTAATATGATTTTACATCATTAAGCAATATGTATCATTTATTACATGAAAAGCATCAAATGGAGAGAAGAAAAGGTAGATGTACAAGATATAGTCCTGATGTCAAAACATGTTTAAAACTCCTGCAAAATATTTCCCTCTTAAAAAAAAATCTAGACATCCACCCCTTCATCCACCTTCCCTAAATTAAATGAAATGTTCACATAAGGTATCCTTCCTACATAATTATACCAATTTCTTTTTAGGACTCTAGGCTTCCTGCCAGTACTCCTAAAAGTATTAAAACCTCACGGTCTTACTCTCCTAACCACTGTCCCTTCTCCCACTCTTCTCTTTCTGTATCACTGCACAAAGTGAATTTTTACTTTTCACCTCCTTTCCCATTGAAATCAGAAAATCTTTTTCTAATAATTATAGTTCGGTTTTTTTTTGTTTGTTTGTTTTTTTAGAAAGACAGAGAGAGAGCATGACTGGGGGAGAGGGGTAGAGGGAGCCAGAGAGTATCTTAAGAATCTTAAACTGACTCCTCGCTCAGGGCGGAGCCCGACAAGGGCCTGATCCCATAACCCTGGAATCATGACCTGAGCTGAAATCAAGAGTTGGAATGAGCCACCCAGGCACCCCCAGGGTAATCTCTTACAACAAATTTGGGGCTCAAACTATTCTAGGGCTAGAAAGAAATTGGGGCAAAACCAAGACCCAAGGAAGATGTGCAAAATGGCACATCTCCCTCAGGCAGTTAGTCTCAGAATATAATCTGAAATCTGTTCTGTGGTTTCCTCATTAAGTGGTCATTTCATTATAGCACCTATAGCTATAAATATAAACATACTTTTAAACAATATCCACATATTTTTTTTTCTTCTTTTTTTTTTTTATTTTTTTTATTTTTGGGACAGAGAGAGACAGAGCATGAACGGGGGAGGGGCAGAGAGAGAGGGAGACACAGAATCGGAAACAGGGTCCAGGCTCCGAGCCATCCGCCCAGAGCCTGACGCGGGGCTCGAACTCACGGACCGCGAGATCGTGACCTGGCTGAAGTCGGACGCTTAACCGACTGCGCCACCCAGGCGCCCCAATATCCACATATTTTTAACCATTGTTGTTGTTTATTCTCTGCTGACACCTAGCCTTCACGTTAGTCCTGATCAAGCATATTGGGAGTGGGAAGAGTTAATAAAAAAGATTTGCATTTATTTTAGGTTGACTGAATTATCATAATCATTATCAGTTAAACTTAATACATCGTACTTTATACATTACTTAATAAATGTAATGGAGACATGGGTTCCTGGGATCCAATATTTCAAAACAGAAGTAAACATGCCTATTAATTGACTCAAGATGGTAAGCAGTTCCTCTATTCTAATTAGGTAAGTAATAATATACACTGTAACAAATTAAATGCAGAAGTGTATACAATAGAGCCTGCCCAGTCTCTCTCCAATCCCACATACCTATCATACATATGCACATATATATAGATTTTTCCTTTTTTATATATGTGTGTTATTTACTATTACTGCTGTTGTTTGCTTCCTTTTTAAAGAAATACGATCGGGGCGCCTGGGTGGCGCAGTCGGTTAAGCGTCCGACTTCAGCCAGGTCACGATCTCGCGGTCCGTGAGTTCGAGCCCCGCGTCAGGCTCGCGTCAGGCTCTGGGCTGATGGCTCAGAGCCTGGAGCCTGTTTCTGATTCTGTGTCTCCCTCTCTCTCTGCCCCTCCCCCGTTCATGCTCTGTCTCTCTCTGTCCCAAAAATAAATAAACGTTGAAAAAAAAAATTAAAAAAAAATAAATTAAAAAAAATAAAAATAAAAAAAAAAAAAAAAAAAAAAAAAAAAAAAAAGAAATACGATCAATCCTATTACACACATTACCCAACTTGTTTTTGCACTGAACATAGCATGGATGTCTTTCCATATGAATACCTGTAGATCCAGCCCATTCTTATGAATAAGTTGTTGTTTCAATGAGTATTGTGGTTTCAATGAGTTGTTACTCATTCTTATAAATAAGTTGTTGTTTCAATGAGTTGTTGTTTCAATGAGTACTCAAATAATGAGTATTTGTTGTTTCAAAATATTCTTATTTTAAAAACCTAAAGGACCAATGTTTTTATTTATTTTTGTTAGAATGGATTTCTAGAGAGGATCAGCATATTTAAATCAGATGTAACAATTTAGAGTGATACCAGCAGCGTATGCGCATCCTACCTTACCTTTGTCCATCACTAGATGTTACTATCATCTAGATGTTACTGTTTCTGCCAATCTGCGTTCAAGAAATGGTATCGCTTAAATTTTGTTTGCATGTTGCTCTCTTCATCTTTAGTAATTTTCATTTACTCATCTGAGACTTGACATTTTTCTATTGGGTAGTCTCTTAATTTTTTTTAAATGTTTACATCTAGCATTTAAGTCAAAGCGCAAAGAAGTCAGGAAAGTTAGTCTATTTTGCTCAGTTCCATATCCCCACAACTGAAGGCAGTGTACATGTATTTAATAAAGGTGTATTGAATTAAAAAATATGGAATATTAATCTTTTTTAAAATATATTAGGAATGTTTTCTCCTGGCTTATCAATTTGTTTAGGTAGTCTCTAGCTACATGAAGGTTTTATTGTTGATGATGATATTTTAATGAAACAAATATATCTTCTTTTTCTTTATAGCTTCAGGGTTTTCCCCTTTAGGGGAAGGAAGTTGGACATTTTCCCATCCTGATGTATTAAAAGTATTCATCGGGGCGCCTGGGTGGCGCAGTCAGTTCTAAACGCGATCCATTTCAGCCAGTCAATGACTCTGCGAACTCCGTGAGTTCGTAGCCTCGCGTGCTCAGTGGCTGATGGCTCAGAGCCTGGAGCCTTTTCCGATTTGAATGCCTCTCTCTCTGCCCCTCCTCCGTTCATGCTCTGTCTCTCTCTGTCCCAAAAATAAATAAAAAACGTTTGGAAAAAAAAAAAAAGCTCTTCTCCTTTAAAAAAAAAAAAAAAAAAAAAAAAAAAAAAAAAAAAAGTATTCATCAAAGTCTTCTAATATTTTAGAGTGATTTTTTTTTTTTTTTATTGAATCTACAACTGGAATTTTTTATGGGAGGAGGAAGAATACCCTTTTTTCAATGAATTGAAATAGTAAATTACCTTACATAGTATCTTTCTTGATTCTGTTCTGAATCAAGATCTGAACTCTTTTTTACCCCACTGTGCTACTTGTGTTTTCCTGTGCTATACTATACCACAGGAAATTACAATTAATTAATTACAATTAATTAATTGTGATTACAATCAATTAATACTAAGTTTAAATTTCTGGTAGGTCAAGGTCACCTACAGTCTTTTTTTTTCCAAAAAAACTTTTATGAACATACTTTTACTCTTCTGTATGAGCTTTTCATTCAACACATTTTCCACAGAGAAAAAAAAAATTCATTATGATAACATTTTTACTGACTCTGTGGACAGCTGGTTTTCATTATGCACTAGAAATTTGCTAATAAGACATATTTATCAAACATAAATTATAAAAAGAACTTTTAATTTATGTTGCTTTTTAATGGCATTTATCACTATGGATTATATTTACTTAATCCATGAAACGCTTTAGAATTCTAAAACCTAGTGAGAACCATGATTTCTGTTCCCACTTATTTCCAAAACTAATAATGTTGCTATTTCGTTACTCTGTAAAACAAAGAATTAAGTTCTGCATAAAACAAGTTACAATTCTCAGTCACACTTAGAAGGAAAATAACCTACATCAACAAAGAACAAGGCAGAGCTTCAGAATGATTTTGTTCTACAACGTATTACATTTGAAGAGATAATCTTTATAGCAAAGGGGATAAAACAGATTTCTTTGTGATTAAAAGACTTTTTTTGTTTTACTTATTTATCCCTTAAACTAGGGATCTGAAATAAGGAATCAAACAATTGTTTTTGCTTCACATCATGAGCCAAACTACAAAATACAGCACTGACTGTTGAAATGTGCTTCCTGTTCTTTTCTCCAGGATATTTATTCTATTTCCTTCCTTCTTAGTACCAAAAATATTGTGATAATGGTGCTACAATGATATAGCACCTGGGAGCAGAGACAACCAAACTCTAGATCTAGTTGTACTTGCCGCGTACTAACAAGACAGGCCTAATCGAGTCAGTTCACCCCTTTTGGTCTCAACAGAATGGCGGGACTGGACTAGACAATCATTCACATCCATTCTAGTTCTCAGATTCAATGACAGCTGTGTTTTAAAGTTAACAGTTGCTTCAAATGCTATAAATAACTCAGAATTAAGTTCAAAGAAAGAATCCATAGATAATAGAGGAGTTTTTAAAAAGCTATTTTCTTTCTCATTATTTCTATTAAAATGATCAACTATGGTTGCCCCTTAAACAACGGGTTTGAAATACGTGGGTCCACTTATACACATTTTGGTCTATAAATACAGTACAGTACTGTAAACGTATCTTTTCTTCCTTATGACTTTCTTAGTAACTTTTTTCTCTAGCTCATTCTAAGAATGCAGTATATAATACATAAACATACACAATACAGTAAAACTCGGATTACAAGTAACTTGCTCTGCAAGTGTTCCACAAGATGAGCAAACATTTCTAATAAATTTAAACGAGAGGTGTCTTGCAATATGAGTTGCACATGACGCCAAACATCATATGATCACAACTGACCCAATGGTTCTTCTCTCTCTCTCTCTCTCTGTGGGATTGTGGGTGATCATCTCCCATGCTCAGACACTCAGTCTCAGGCCACGGTGATTAGCAGAAATCAATGATTTTTTAGAACGCTGCAAGGTGCCCACAACTGGCACCAGTGTATTTTTTGTCACTTCAAAGCACCTATGGACGGTCCTTTGCTTTTCATACAAGAGTAAGCTTAGGAATGCTTTGCTTCATTCTAGGTCAGGCTGCCTGCAGATACAGACCCTATCCTCTGCTGCCTTATTGCCAGTCTCATTAAATACAGTTTATGACAAGAGCTTATTAATACTGGACTGTAGTCAACATCGATGTGAGTGTATACAATGGCCCCTATGCAGAAAAAAATTCCATTGAGCCAATAGATAGCAGTGATTCCATTAATGACAGTGAAAGTCGTCCTACACCATAACCCTCCTCTCTCGTCCCCCTCACACCAGCCACGAAGGTTTTCAAAGGTAAGTCCATGTTCATTTGTTTATTTTTCTTTATATTTTGTATTTTCTTTATTATTTTGTATTATATTACAGGATTGTCATCATTTTCATATGAATATTTTTGAGTTGTGGAATAAATCATCTGAATTTCCATTATTTCTTATGGGGCAATTCGCTTTGATATAAAGTGCTTTGGATTACAAGCAGGTTTCCGGAACAAATTATGCTCACAAACCAAGGTTTTATTGTATGTGTTTATTGACTATTTATGTTATTGGTAAGACTTCTGGTGAATAATAAGCTGTTAGTACTTAAGTTTTAGGAGAGTCAAAAGTTATACACAGATTTTCTCTTTTTAAAATGTTTATTTTATTTTGGGGGTGCAGGGGAGAGAGGGAGCAGAGAATCTGAAATGGGTTCTGTGCTGACAGCAGAGTCCAATGTAAGGTTCGAACTCAGGAACCATGAGATCATGACCTAAGCCAAAGTCAGATGCTTCTGACTGAGCCAGCAAACACCCCCAATTTTCAAATGCACATGGGTGGGCACTCCTAACCCCCATACTGTTTAAGGGTAAACTGTATTTGTATGTGGGTTACAAAAGTGAAAGCTATTTCAAAGAAGATGAGTAAGTTGCTAATCAACTTCCACATTCATCATGTAATGACTTAGAATCTGTCATCTGATTTTTGGCATAAAAAATTCACCGAATCCATAAAACGTTATTTTCAGATAAGACTTTGATGCTTTAGAAAATGAAGCTGTACATGGTACAGCAAGGCATGAAAGGAGGAAGTAATGGTCTGCTCTTGGAATGCCAACAGATTTTCCCAAGCTTTTCCTGAAGATTGGGTTCAGGGTGATGCTGGGAGAAGGGGAAAATGATAAGTGGGGAGAGGGAGATGGAAAGGGGAGCTGGGATAAATAAGTAAAGAGAGGACTGTTCAGAAACTTCACGATTTACCTGGTAAGAGGTGTAAGACACAAGTGAATTATGCTTGGGGAAACATACATTTTATAATGAGGGAGAAAGCACCTGTAACGATGACTGAGATTACTGATAAATCAGAAAGTCTCACTTTTTAAAAAAATTTTGCTAATGTTTTTTGGGCTTTCAAAATCTTAGTTTAGGATCAAGGATCTCAAACAGAATAAAGCTGACAAATGAACTGACTACCTGGGAAATTCTGGTAAAATTGAGGTGCTTTCATTAATGATTCGCATAATTTTCTGCTTAACTTGATCAGGCTTGGCTAAACTTGACCTGTATATCACTCCTTGGGGGATGACAGCCTCTGGAGGACAAAGAACACATTCCTTTATAAATTCCTTGGATAATATTTTAATGTGACTCAGAATGAAGTGGTGTCTTGTTACATAGGTACTCTGCATCCAAGAAAAGTAGTGATTCATACAATTCAGTGAATGAGATTAAAAACAGTTCCAATTCTGATGTAACTTGTTTTAGTCTAAAGCAGGAAGGATGAAAACTAGTTACTCCAAGATCCTGAGCCTCTCTGTTTCCCTTGCTAACTACTGTGAATAAACTGGGGAGAGAGGGATGTGTCTTTTCCCTCCACAAAGGACAGTAAACTTTTTCAAAGTTCCTGATGAAGCACAATCTATATCTCATTCCTAAAGATGGACCTACTAATAGCCCCGACCCCAGATGGTTTCAAATGGTAGAAGCAATTGTGAAGTGGAAGCAGATGTGAAAACACGATTTTTTTAAACCCTTATTTGTTCTCTGTCAGCACCATCCACACCTTTAAGAGGCTAGCCCAATGGAAATTCTAAATTTATATTTGCTGAATTTTTTTTAATGAATGAATCATTATGAATGCCTGTAACAAACAGATTGTTTGCAAGGATGAGTGCAATAATTCCTCCCGTGCTGTTCCTACCTTTTCCTGGATATCCGTTAGGTGGCAGAGAACAATGAAACGAATTCCCAAGTTAGACGCGGCCAGAAGTGGTAACAGACCAAGGAGCGATGTCCTTCCTGCCAAATTATCAGCAGGCTTTCATACAAAGCTTCTAAAAACCTGCCAGTGACATTGACAAATTGTCACCACTTACTCCATTACAGTAATCCTCTGAAACGCAAAGCACTAAAATTACTTGCTCCAGGTCACAAAGAAATCAACTACACCTAAGAGCCCTGAACACCAAAGTTCTTCTCCCAGAAGAAAAGACAGCACCCGGGACCATCAGGGGCTGCAAAGTCCCTTTCACATCCATTCGGGTCAACCGTTGATTTAGGTCGGTGCTGCCAGAACCAGAAACGCTGGGAGCCAGAAAAGCGGCTAAGACCCACCACCATCCCGGGGGCACCGTTAGAACGGCAAGTGTCACCACACGAGACACTCAAGACGGAGACACGCCCTGCCTGGATTGCGGCAAAGGGTGAGTGTTAGAAAGGGTGGGTGGCCGTGAGGTTACGGACTAGGTGGGTCCTTCCTCTCCCGGCAGCAGGCGTTCGATTCCAGAGGACAAAGGGGGTGGGGGGAAGGGTCACCCTAGTGTTTCGGATGCTTTATATCGGAAGGCGTCACTTACTGCCGAGAACCAGGCCGACGTCTGGGGACGAAGCTGCACGCACCCCAACGACGTGCTGAGCTCCAGACCCGGTAAGCCTTTCCTAGCGCACCGTCCGGAAAACGGCCGGTTTTCTGGTGGGGCCCGTCCGCACCGGCCGAAATATGTCCCGCCTCCAAACCCGGGCCCCGCCAGCCCTGTAGAGGGGAGGATTGACCAGTACGCGGCCGGCGGCTGCGCCCAGCCCCGGCATGGTCACTCACCAGCTTGGTGGCCCGGTACGGGCCGGGCCCCACGATGCGGTGCTCCATAGCTGGTAAGCAGTGGCGGCGCCGGCCGCCCCTGCGCGGATCCCTGCAGGCTGGCGGCGCAGCAGTTTGAATCGCGAGCCTAAGCGCTACAGACGCTGATTGGGCGACACGGAGACACGTGACGGGAACTGAGGGGCGGGGGCGGGGCCCCGTAGGCGACTGGTGGCTGCGTTGGCGTCTCCTGTGAGCTCAGACAGACTGGGGACCGAGTCGGCTGTCCTCCCTTATCCCACCCGGCGCACGCCAGGATGTGCACTGACCGTGCGGGGTGTCTCTGTTTAGCACTGGGGCGAACCTGGCCGACCTCAGACAACGGCATACATACGCTTTCTTTGGTAGAGGGTCAATAAAGAGGGTATAATTCGGTGATGGAAATCGTGGACTGTGAACAAATCCGAGTCAGCATTCCATATGTACAGTGAACCTGCAGGTGCTACTAGTAGGATTGGGAGAAGTGGGCAGTGAAATGAAGCGAGTGGACGGCATCTACAAGTGGAGGGACACTGAAACACTGGATAAGGTCACTTGGCCCCAAAGAGTGTCGACAGCCCCTAGAAGCAGCAAAGAGCTGGAAACAGGGATGACTGCGTGGCTCAATAGGTTAAGGATCCAACTCTTGCTTTCAGCTCAGGTACTGATCCCAGGATGGTGGAATTGAGCCCCGCATCAGGCTTGTGCTGAGCGTGGAGCCTGCTTAAGATTTTCTTTCTCTCTCCCTCTGCCCCTCTCCCCCGCTGGCTCTCTCTCTCTAAAATAAATAAAATGAGGGAAAGGGGGGGGAGGGGAGGCGCGGGGATGGCTCAGTCAGGTAAGCGTGGGACTCTTGATCTGAACTCTTGATTTGGGCTCCAGTCAGAATCCCGGGGTCATGGAATAGAGCGCCATGTCCTGCTCTGCGCTGACAGCTAAGCCTGTTTGGAATTCTCTCTGCCTCTCTCTGTGCTTACCCCACTCCTGCTCTCGCTCTCTCTTTCTCGCAAAATAAATAAACTTTTTTTTAATGAAAAAAAGAGCAGGGAGAGTGCCAATTCATCTATTTTTTCTTTTGATAGTCTATCCCTTGAATTTGAATTCTGTATTTTATATCAGCCTAAGAATTTCTGTCTTTTGCCAGAGGGCTGTTTTTCCGCTCAGAATTTTCCCCGTTGGAAGTGCTGGTCTGATTTGCTATTGTGAAAGGAAAAATGAGGTCACCACTCTATACCTACAACTGGAGTTTAAAGTTCAAATATGAAAAAAAAAAGTTCATATCTGGTCACCTCAGTGAGTACCCGGGATAAGATCAAACCCCCACTTTCATGACACCCCTCCTCCATTTGCTCCTTTAGATATATAGTTAGCTGCATTTTAGAAAGCCCAGAAAAATTCAGAGATGACATGTATGTATTACTTTTATATTCAGAAAAAACAATACAGATAATATAAAGGTAATTTTTGCCTCCACTGAGTGAATCCTTATCAGAAAGGATTCCAATGAGGCACAAGAGAAAGAAGAAATGTAACTTCAGAACCTTATCCATCCGGGACTTGTCACCAGCCACTGGGGTTGTAAACTGCGATCTGATACAAAATGTCATGCCCTGCCTCCTGAGCATTTTCCCAAGAGTCCATCATGAGCCATACACAAGATAATTACTTTTACTGGAAAAACATATTTCAAAATGATCTACATATCAGAGGCCACAGTCTTTGTGACTGGAGTTTAAATTGGGCTGCTGATAATCTACCGGTCTTTCAGCATCACATAAAAACAATTGGGAAACTGCTTACATACTCTTCTCTGGCACGTTTAAGTGTGACACCATCAAGATCCTGTAGAAACTTTGACTCAGCCTCAGAACATCTTTATAAGGTGCAGTGAGTATTGGCAATTTCACCATCACCAGCTAACTTATCACTGGCGTTAGGAAATTCCAGGCTGTGGAGCAAAAATCAACATAGGCACCAAGTGTATTTAATGTGGGTTTGGAAATTGTGTTTCTCAATCACTGAGTAGGGAGTGGTTGGGAGCAAGTCCCTCACTGCCCAGAGGGTTCCTGATTGCCGCATTCATTCCTCCTGCTGCCTGAAAGGTCTCCCGGCAGGTTGGATGGGTCGTTTTGAAAGAACTCCTCTGCTGAAACCCAAGTCACTCACTGCTTATATTAGACTTGAGCCATTTGGATTATGCTGTAACCCCATTCAGTCATGTTCCTTGGCATTTAAGCTATCGAGACAGTCCATTTGCTGAGGTTCTTAAAAGTTGCAAAATATGTGACTTGATTTCCATACTTATTAGTCTGTACTGTCATCACTCTACTGGGAAATATTCCCCCAGAAATTGTATCAATACTATTCACTAATAAGGGCATCATATTCTTTGGGGATATGGGTGGCAAAGAAAGGATAAAAATATATGGAAAATGTAAAACCATAGTATTTCATTGAAACTGTTAAATAATATTTTTATTTCAGCATTTAAAAAATAAATACCACAAAAATAGAGATTTACATTCATTCATTCACTTATTCAATATGTATGAATTCCCACTATGTGCCAGACACTCTTCCAGTCACTGGAATACTTCACAAGAAAAAACAAAGTCCAGAGGCTGACATCCTAGGGTGGGAGGATACAGCAAGCCAACCATATACCTAAAAATGTATATACTATATCAAGGGATAACTGAGTGCTGGGAAGGAAAGTAGAAGAAGAAAGAGGAGGGGGTGAGGGGATAAGGATGCTATTTTGGCTCCAGTGGTCAGGGAAGTTCTCTCTGATGAAGTGACAGCTGAGTAAACAATCTGAGTCAAAAGACTAGCTGTCTGGGGGCAGACCTTCTAAGATGATGGAATAATAGCCCGTGTGAAAGCATGAGGTGGACACATGCTTGTCCACCCAGGGAACATGGGAAGGAAGCCTGTGTCACTGGAGTGGAATGAGTGAAAGGGAGAGGGGAGGTGATGAGTTTGGACACAGAGAGGAGAGGTCACATTATGAGCCACAGGACTTGGATTTTACTCTGAATTGGTTGAAAATGTATTACAAAGTTTTAAAAGTGTGTCAATATCTCAGTGGGTTTTTTAAAGCATCACTCTCCCCACTGTGTGAGTAATGGACTGGAATGGGGGTAGGTGTGGAGTGGAAGCAGGAAAACCAGTTAGGAAGCTTGCAACACTCTAATAGAAAACAATGAATAAATGTGGTTGATACAGTGCTTGGCACATAGTGCCATTCAACAAACAGTTGCTGAAGGAATAAATGGATGAACAAGTTAAAACAAAACTTTGTAAGTTATTTGTCTCTTAAAGATCAATTCATTCTGTCTCTAAGTTGATGTCTTAATTATATTGCATGTACTCTGCAATATAATAGCTAACTTTTATATTTTCAATATAACCTATAAAATTTGCTACTGAACCTACTATTCTGTTTTTTTCTTAGACACAATCCATACCTGATGCCTTGTGTTATAATCTCTCTCTCTCTCTCTCACACACACACACATACACACACACCTCCTGCCCCTTCACAATTACATAATTGTGTGCTAAGTTAGCATAATAAAACCTTTGCCAAGGATATAGCTGAATGGATTCTCATATTTGAGTATAAGTTCAGTTTCTTGCACATTAACCATGCCTCTTTGTTGCTATAACTAAGTATGATTCTTTATATCTGGGAAAGCCACTTGGTGGCAAAAATTTTTTTAACTAACATTGGTCTGGCTTGCGTAATTTCAAGGAGGAAGATTGTGGAAACAGGAAAGCCATTTAGAAGGTAGTCAAATGAACATAGACATGAAAATCCAAGAGCAGTGGAGTGTTATGAAAACAGTTGTGTAGCCTTGGGCAAGACTCCTGTGTGTCAGTTTCTAATCCAAAAACTGGAGATAACAGTGGTATCTGCTTCATAGGGCTATTGAAAGACTTACTTAAGGAAATACATGCAGATTTCTGAGAATTCTACTTCCCTTATATGGTAGGCAGATTCCAAAATGGTCTCGAACATTCCAGGCCCAATGTGCCTACTTCTCCCATTTTGTCAGCACTAACCCAGGTGCTGCTGTAAAGGGAATTTGCCTATGATATCAAATCAGTTGACGTCGGAACATGGAGATTATCTAGATGAGCCTGACTTAATGACACGAGCCTTTTAAGAGGACAGTTTTCTCTAAGCTGGTTGCAGAAGTCAGAGATTGGAAGTAGAACAGAATTCTGTCACCCTGAATGAACATGGAAGCAGATGTCCTCCCAGAGCCTCCACAAGGGAACCAAGCCTGGCTGATGTCTCGACTTCAGGCTTCTGACACCTAATACGCTGCAAAGAGAGCACAGCCACCTCACTCCAGACTTCTGACCTACTGAACATAGGCTAAGAAACGAGTGTGTTTCATTGCTAAATGTATAGTACTCTCTTATTTGACAATAGGTAACTGATACATCTTGTACACACAAGCTCTCAATAAATGTTTGTTCTAGCTACTACACAGCAATAGAGGGGATAGTGGAAATGTCAGTGCTTAGTGAACGGTTAGCTATAAGGATGAGCGAGAAGAAAAGGCCACATATGGCTCTAAATGACACCTGGAAGACTGGCAGAAAGATTGTACTGTTGGTCACAATGAAACAGGGTTTGTCTGCATAAGCAAGAAGGAACAAAGAGAAGGGACTTTACTATTCTTAAGAACCACCAAAGTAGCTTGTTTAAAATTCAGTTTTATGGATTCTACCCACAGAAGTACCTACACGTATCTATATTCCATAGGTATTTATGGTTTGACTCTTTACCAGTGACTCCAGAGATCCATGACATGTACAGATTTTTAATTCTGATAAGGCAAAACCTTAAAACTCCCCTTGGAGGTTGGTGTGCAAGAGTATGTCATCCAGATTGTAAGTGAGCCTACATAACCACCTAGGTAGGAGTAGGTATTCCCTCACTCAATATGACCTTGACATTCTCGACTCTTCATGTTTATGCATGGTATGGGGAACATATCTACTGGTATTTGAGAATT